TTTTTTTTTTTTTTATCCTTTTTTTTGGGTTGGGTTGGTGGGGGTGGGGTAGTTAAACCTTAAGATTCATTGACCATATCGGACATTATCTTGCAATTTGGGGTTTGGCTTTGCTATTTTCTCGTGTTATTCTGCGTTATATGTCATGTGTTCGAAGGTATGCGACAACACTATGAATTGGATGCAGTAGATTCATAATCTGCCAGTCAATTACATGTCGGGAGAGCCTTACTTGTCTCATGTCTGTTTTTTAGTTGCTACTCATATTACCTTCGCTTACAGTAGAAGAAACTTTTGTCTTACAAGGGAATATCAGTTAACTGGCGGCATACCCTGATGCTATGTTATTTTGGTTGCACTCAACTGATTGAACTTAACTGTTATGATGTCGAACAAAAAGAGTATTGGGTGGAGGAAGATGTAAATGCGCTACTGGTGGTCCTGTGTCTTTTCTCGACAATGGAATTTGGATTAAAACTCTACCACCTCATGCCAGAACAATTATGCCCCTGGCCAGAACGGAAAATTCTTAATTATATCCATATCCATATGAAAAAAATCTAAACCCTATCCATAAATTTGCTGTATTTGTTTGTATAATCCCTATGCAACACAATGAATTACTAAGAGAGTTAAGTTTTGTGCAGATCACGTGGTGATGATCTCGGTCGCATTTCTTATAATTTTGTTCAGTGTACAGAGGTACGGAACAAGTAAAGTTGGGCTTGTTGTTGGTCCTGCCTTGTTTATATGGTTTTGTTCTCTTGGGGGCATTGGCATATACAACCTTCTCAAATATGACACTGGTGTTCTTCGGGCATTCAATCCAATTCACATCTATTATTTCTTCCAGCGCAATTCAACCAAGGCTTGGTACTCTTTAGGGGGATGTATTCTTTGTGCGACAGGTAAACTGTGAAGTATAGGAGTGTCCTCATTGCTCTATTATATTGACCTCTTATAAGTTAAAACACCATTGGTTGACCCACAAATTTCTTGGATTTGAATTATCTTATTCGTTGCGTTCTATGCATATCATGGCATAAGTTCGAAGATTTGTTATCGGACTCCGTGAACATCTGGGCTTACGATTGAGTACAAAGAGTAAATGTTTTATCATTTGAAGTATCCTCTATAGTTTTTGCAGTGTACAAAACTACTGGGGGAATGAAACAAAAATTTCTACAAGTATCATGGAATAGCTTTGCCATTTTATTACAATTTAATTAGAAAATCTTGTCCTGCACTCTTGTTCCTAACCAAGTTTTCAATCCACTGCAAAAAAAAAAAAAAAAAAAGGTTTTCAATCCACTTGCAGGTCAAAAGAATGGATATATTTTTTTTATAGTATAAGATTTTCGTTTTCATATTTATATATGATATATCTAGTTTCATAAACATAGGAGTATTCCTTAAATTTGAAATGCTATACATGTACTTTTCAATTGTTAGCTGACCTGCACAATACATTGTCATGGATATTATTCGTCTGTTTGTGTAACTTTACATTAAGATTTCTTACTGATTCCTGATGATGGTTATGTGTCTCAGGTTCTGAGGCAATGTTTGCGGATTTATGCTATTTTTCTGTTAGATCAGTACAGGTAAGTTATCTGCAGTAGTTGCAATTTTTTTTTCAAGTTTTTTCCCTTCCCCCTTAGAAAATTAAAAATTTTGCTGACCAAAGATGTGAATTTCTTGTGCCAGCTTACATTTGGGTTGCTGGTATTACCGTGCCTCCTTTTGGGTTACCTAGGTCAAGCTGCTTATCTTATGGAGAACCATGCAGATACAACACAGGCTTTCTTCTCTTCTGTTCCAAGTAATTACAAGTTTATCTTGCTATGACTATTTTCTCTTGGTTGTAGTTTTAAAAGGACAGATAGCATCTTGATTGACCAGATAGCTGTTGATATCATAACAATTTTTACTACGTTTCTAGCTTCCAGCTTTTGTGCGTTCTGTATAAATTCTTGATATGCAATTTTAATCATCGGGTATGTAAAATGAACAGAACATGAAATCTGCCTTTGTCTTTAATCTACTTCAGGTGGAGCTTTCTGGCCTGTCTTCCTCATAGCTAATGTAGCTGCACTCATTGCTAGTAGAGCTATGACGACTGCCACTTTCTCTTGTATCAAACAATCCACGTCACTTGGTTGCTTTCCTCGTCTGAAAATTATACACACGTCGAGAAAATTCATGGGCCAAATTTATATTCCAGTCATGAACTGGTTTCTGCTGATTCTGACCCTTGTGTTAGTCTGCAATATCTCAAGTATTTATGAGATTGGCAATGCATATGGTAATTCTCTTATTATGTTTGTTGAAGTTTAGTTAACGATCAGCGATTCTCTTACTTTGTTTCTTGATATAAATGCCTAATTTTAACACTTTTATGCATGCATGCAAGCTGGTGTTACTGTTTTATTTCAGAAAAAATGAGCCAGCTCTATGTAAATGTTTTTTCCTGTCGCTTAATGTGAAGACATGCATTCTATCTTCTAATTTTGATTATCTGTACAGGGATTGCTGAACTTGGAGTAATGATGATGACTACAAGCTTAGTGACCCTAGTGATGCTTCTTATATGGCAGATAAACATTATTGTTGTGATGAGTTTTGTTATCATCTTCTTGGGGTTGGAGTTGACCTTCTTTTCTTCCGTTTTGTGGAGTGTGGGGGATGGGAGTTGGATCATACTGGTGTTCGCTGTTGTCATATTCTTAATAATGTACATCTGGAACTATGGGAGCAAGCTTAAGTATGAAACAGAAGTGAAGCAAAAGATGTCAATTGATGTGCTGCGGGAACTGGGTCCCGATCTGGGAACAGTTAGAGCTCCAGGCATTGGCTTGCTTTACAATGAGCTGGCAAAGGGGATACCTTCTATATTCGGGCACTTCCTGACCACTCTACCCGCTATTCATTCCATGATCATATTTGTGTGTATAAAGTATGTCCCGGTATCTGTAGTGCCTCAAAGTGAGAGATTCCTTTTCAGACGAGTTTGCGCAAAAAGCTACCACATATTTCGTTGTGTTGCCAGGTAATCTGCTGCAATTGTTCAGTCTACCATTAGCTTTATTCTGTTCTGGATTTTTCGCCTCGAGAGTTTCTTGTGTGCTTGGGTGCGCCTCATCTTGGGCGTGGGTGTATCCTGTATTACGCTATGATTGGACAAGATGTTTTGATTTTGTTTGGGTTTTTTGGTTTGCATGGTTAATTTTGAAAAAGTGGTATGATTAGTTGTTAGTGAGATTTTGAATTTGTATTAAAATAATATTTAAAATAAAATAATTAAAGTTGTTTTGATGTAAAAGTAGGAGAGATAATGTGAAGTGATGTTTAGTTAAAATTATGTGAGTAGATGAATAGTGAATTAAAGATGATGTAATGTGTAAGAATGATTGAGTGGTATTATTTAATTATATTATTGATAATATTGAGGACAGTGGAGTTGAGTTAAAGTTGAGTTAGATTTGAGTTAAAAAAAGTGATTGGTTAAAAATGATTGGGATTTTTAGGAAAAAATTGTATCCAAGCATGAGTGTTCCAAATTTATCTTCAATAGGGTTTCTGTAAACACATAAACATAAGTCCAGGTTTTGTTTGTAATTCTGAAAAATTATTGTTATTATTTTGTAATTCAAAATTATTTCTAATAGGTTATTGACATCAAAGATAGCAGAAAAAAGAAAATTCTCTGTATTACAGCAGTTAACAAATCTAGTTACCCAACATTGGCTAGTCCAAAGCAACCTATTTTTTATTTATTTATTTATTTTTTTTTAAATTGCACTGGCTATGGCTGTCGTTAACAGATACGGGTACAAGGACGTGCGCAAGGAAAACCACCAGAACTTCGAGCAGCTGCTGATCGAAAGCCTCGAGAAATTCATCCGCCGTGAAGCCCAGGAGAGATCCCTGGAGAGCGATGGCGATGAGGACGACTCGGAAGAAGAAAACAACTTCTCGAGAATCCTAATCGCTCCCAATGGCAGCGTCTATTCCCTTGGCGTCCCTCTCCTGGCTGAGTTCAAGGACACAAGCAACTTCATCTCAGGGGCAACCACACTGCAAGAGGTCGAGGAGGATCGGGCCGGGGCCCACAACGAGCAGTCCGCTGCTGATGCCGAGCAGAGCCTCGAGAAGGAGCTCTCATTCCTGCGCAAGGCAAAGGAGTCGGGTGTTGTCTATCTCCTTGGGCACGGGGACATCAGGGCCCGCAAGGAGTCGTGGTTTATCAAGAAGCTTGTTATTAACTATTTTTACGCGTTCTTAAGGAAGAACTGCAGGCGGGGGACGGCAAACCTGACTGTTCCCCACTCGCACCTGATACAGGTCGGCATGACTTACATGGTTTGATGGGAAAATGGTTAATTTGGAATTGGAATTGGTCGAGAGGTTTGATCGAGAATTTTTCTCGAGTCCTGGGATTATTATGCACATTGCACAACCTCTCGGCTGATTTGGGGCGATCTTTCATATGATGTGTATTTAGATATCTTTTCCTTGTACACATGGTGGTTGGAAATGTAGTGATTGTGATGTGAATGAGTCTTATTTTTTGGCCTTGTAAAATATTCTACTTTGAGTTGTCGCGTCATTTTATGCTAGAGTTGTTTGGGGTATGATTATTGATCTTGGGATGAGCCTAGTTGTACACAATGATAGCAGTAGCATTTCCAGTCACTGGTTGGCGGGCAATGTCGATTATTTCCATCAAGTTTGTGGAATCATAAGATTGGAAAATTCTTGGGTCATTTTGATTCGAACGTGTTACTATCGATGTTTAGTGTAGACATGGCAAGTTTTGAACCGACCCGTCGAACTGACTGAACCGGCCTGTTGACCAACATGTTTAGAACCATCTCGACCGCTGACCACTGTTAGTAAATCGGAATTGTGTTATATACTTGTATCCGATTTTGAGCCAGTTTGCGTTCATATAAAAAAATTCATATAGTCGGTTCTCGGCTGGCCCACGGTTTGGCACTAAATTTTTTGGCGAATTTTTAAACACACCACAAGATACCAAAGAAATTGCAATACTGTCAGGAGAATAATTTTATTTGCATATGTACCTAAATAAATGCATCTAATATGGGTGAATAATAAGAATCAGTTACCAAAATAACACACCCTATAATCACGCCATTAGCTCCTTGTTTTGAAGAAAAAAAAAATAGAATCTTGCTGCTATATACACGATATGTTTTTTTTTTTTTTTAATTTTTAAAAAGGAGAAGATCAGATTTTGAAAAAAATTCGTCATCTCAAATCGGTATATGTAGCGTTTATACATAATATATAAAGAACATATACACAAGATATACAGAAAATATATAAGTCTGGAAAATACATATAATATATATAGAACATATACACAAGATATACAGAAAACATATAAGTCCGAAAAATATACAACGATCAAACATATACACAATATACAATATATACAAAAATCAGTCCATATAACATATACAAAAAAATGATCGAACATATACACAATATACAACATATATACAATATACACAATAAATAGCAGTATATTTGTCTGGAACATATACAGAAGATATACTTATTGTATAAAGAAAATAAATCAATGTTGTTATTATATACATACAGAAGATATTTACTTATGCTGATTTAACTTCTACTGTACCACACAAGACTTTCAAATTGATGGAGAAAAAGTTGTCCCCACAGTATAGTTAGATAAATATCTCAAAATCTCAAAAACATCGTAATAAACAAAAAATCGCGAGTACAAATCAACTCCCTTGAAAAAAAAAATACAGCCCCGTCGGTCCGCGTTTGGTGGCTCGGAGGTCAGGGCTCGGAGATCGTGGCTCGACGTCGGAGATTGAGGCTTACGAAAGTCGCAGCCCCGTCGGAGGTCGAAGGTCTCCAGAAACTGAAGCTTGATCGCCGATGGTTCGGGTATGTTTGGTCGCGGGTCTGCTCTGCGTGTTTGGGTTCGACTCGCCTCGACATGAGTGGGAGAGATAAAAATCTCACCCATTAATTAATTGGAATGGGATAAATTTTTACCTTAATTATGAATTATCTTGATTGCATCAGATTTGAAAGTCTTAACATGCTAAAATTTTACAAAGTTGTTATATTTATGCAATAAAATTGAAACTTATGGTAAGGTGTGTAATTTTCTCAAATTTTTTAGAATTTGAATTTTGTGAAAAAACATTTGTCTTTATAACCCGGCAAGCGGGTTGTCCCAATGGTAGGTTTTTAAAAGCGACGTTGGATTTTGTAACCATTGGAGATCTAAAACGGTGGGTTCTCTTTAGGCTCTATGCCTAAATCATTTTTTTGCCAATGTCCACCCTGTCAAAATATCTTCTGCATTAAAATGCTTTTGGCCCACTTATTTGAGAGTCCAATTAAGCAAAGACACGACACATGCACAAAATAAGTCTCGGCCTTGAAGTCCCCACAACTTTTAGAATGTTCTGTGATATTTTGGTTAAAATAAAAAGTAGGATGTGTTTTAATGTTACATGCAAAAGTGTAAGATAACTTATATGTTACATACATGAGTGTAATTGAATTACACAATGCATGAATGTAAGATAAGTTTCAAGACAATGCATGTAGGATAAGTTTTAAGACAATGGATGTGGATAAGTTTCACTTTCACAAACTCAGAAACTTATGGGTTTAATTCATTTTGAATTAATTAAACAAGTTGCAACTTTACCAAAGGTTTAGAAGACCTCTGTCCTATCCATTAGACAATGGACGCGGTTCTTATGAGATTAATGTTTTTCGTTAAAGAAATAAATTGTAAAGAGAGCATCTTACATTTGTAACCACACATGGCAAATGACACCTATATATATATATATACTTCTCTTCTTTGTGAAATCTTATGAAGAAAGTAGAATACTTGATCAATCCCAAAACCCATTTTCAATTTGTGTGTTCCTTAAAGATTTCCAAGAGAGGGAGGAAATAGAGTTTTCAATTTGTGTGTTCCCTAAATATATATAGAGTTTGGTTAAGTGTCTCTTTCTTTATTGTT